ATTTTCCGGTGGAGGTATAAACATTTATTTACACACGTCTTGACACAAACTGATGACGGTGAACTGAAATAATTGAAACAAATGAAACAAATGAAAGTAACAGAATAAACAAATATAAATTTCAACTTAATACAAATATCACAATAAAGAAATTACAATAAAACACATAGATAAAATAACTAAATACATACATAACAATGCTGCCTCCACTCATTCGCGTACAGTACTAGGCGTGTTCCAACCACGACAATACATGGTGACGTTTTATTACTACTCAACAGAACACCAATCATCCAACATATGAGGGCGCCACTCACACCAAGACGAGACAACACAAAGTAAACATGACAAACAACACAAACAAATGAAACAAAAATTGCCGACGACACTGTCGGCAACAGCCTTCTGTAAGGGCGTGCCGCAACGGTGTATTTTAATTATCTCCTATAAATATATACAGGCGACACGGTATGCCTCCAACAAAGGTTACATGTCTGTTTTTGTAGGATATTATCCGATCCTTCCTGAATAACTTGACATAGTGTTTTTAAATTACCTGTGGTTGATTCTTCTCTGCATCGAGCAGGTACTAGTACTCAATAGGATTAATATTCGAGCTCAAAACGGTCGTTTCTTCCTCAGAATATTCCGTTTTTTTTTTTTTTTTTTTTTTGCAACAAATCAATCCACAGAAGAGAACCAACATGTGATCACTTTTAAACAAAATCACATAGGTCTAAAGGCGGGACAACTGTTTTGATCAAGAGTATAGACGATTAAAAAGTAGAATTTCAATCAAATTATATACCACTCTCTTTTAGGTGCAGTCCTCCAGCTTTGCTGAATGACACTTTCTTATTTCAAAATCCTTGGCACGAGGCTCTGGTGAACCAGACTATCCCAATTAACGACAAAGATGGCGGCTACGACAAATGTAGCTACTACCGGCAAACCGACGACGGGAATACAACTGAAGCTGAATGCGATACCTGGGTGTATGACACGTCAGTCTTCTCGAAGACTTTCCCGATGGACGTGAGTATGTGCTCAGAATACACCAAATTGTTCTGAATATGCACGTGAATTAGATGTGCCCTATCCGTATTTTCTTCCTAATTGAATTTTCTTTGGAAAAAAAAGCAACTTCTGCTACCCACGAATCATTGCCTTTTTGGAGTATATCGTTTTAAGAGTTTATACATTAGGAAAGATAATCAGTTTGAAGAACATTTAGACAAAAAATATGACGCCCTGACAAATTTTTAAACGAGGATGATGTAGACCTTCATGTACCATTCAATTCACACCCCAGGAAGATTATTTAAGACTGATCTGTGGTTTTGTTAAACTATGTTTCTCAATCTCTGCTGTGCCAATTTTATTCTTCTGTCTCTCCCAGCTCTTTCTCCATCTTTAACCTTCTCCTACACTCATGTTCTAATGGTTACCTTTATAGTTTCAGTTGGTTTGCAAGGACTCGTCTAAGGTTCGTAGTATCCAAGTCATCTTTTTGAGTGCTGTACTCGTAGGTTCCATCATTGGAGGAATTTTAGCTGACTAGTAAGCTGATCTATTACTCTTATCTACTTAATTTTGAGTTCCCGTCTCAGTTCAATGACATGTAAATAATTGACTAATTATATAAAGTCGATGGTGCAAATCGTTGCATTAAGAATCACCACACCATCTACAAAACATAAAATGATATACTGAATAGTGTTCCTACCTTCATACTCAGATACATTATAATCTTCATTCATTTCAGCTGTGGACGCAAACCTGTATTTATCGTAGCCTGTCTTCTCCATGGAAGTGCCGGAGTGGCTGCTGCTTTCTCTCCCAATTATACTGCCTTTGCCACCTTTAGGTTTTTGGTTGGATTGGCCAGTCCGAACATATTCGCGTCGGCCATGGTGCTCGGTAAATAAAACAAATAATGTATTTTTGTCTTTTAAATGCAGAGGATTTCCTTTTACATTAAGTAATGCTTTAACTGTAGTGATCATCCTTCGTAAAAACCTATACTCAGTACTGTATACAAGTGTATTGTTTAATGTTTTAATATTCCCAAGACAATTTTATATATATGCAGCAAAGAACAGGGCAAGATGGAAGGTCATTTCGAGTCAACCTCAGAGGAGGTGACACGCATGGATGGATGGAACATATAATGTCGTTAAAATCCAAGCCTTAAAGCTAGTACTTGGACTGGTGTTTTTTTTAGAATAAATTAATTAATTTGTTTATTTCAGCCTTGGAACTTGTGGGCCCCAGCAGACGTATGGTGGCAGGTTTAGCTCCGGAATTTGCTTGGTGTACAGGCTTGGTTCTTCTGACACCTCTTGCATACCTCATAAGGGACTGGCGATATCTTCAGCTCGCTGTATCTGTTCCTTCCTTCCTGTATATTTCTTTATGGTGGTGAGTATGATCTCTTACAATAGACGTCTTAATTTGACCAGTAAAGGGAAGTGCAAAACGCGCACGGAACTCATTGGAAAACTGAAGGTAAAATGATATGATATGATACATTTCATACAGGATAACATCAATAGCAGCAATATTTGGCTTGTGCAATCCTTACCGATTTACATGAAATTGTACTCTCTCGTAGTGTGAACACTATATACTGAATCGGAATATATTGCTTTAGTTAGTCGTCTTGTTTTACGACCTTAAGGCCTTTTCAGATTCTTTTCGTCTAGGCTCATACCAGAATCCCCTCGTTGGTTACTAATACGGGGTCACACAGAGAGGGCAGAGAAAATCCTACGCTGGGCCGCCAAGGTCAACAAGAAAACCCTTCCTGCCAATATCTTTGACGAGAAAACACTCGAGAAAACGGAATATGTGAGCCCGCTGGAGATGCGCAAGACTCCAAGGCTCCTTCTACGAACCTTGATTGGGATGTTTGTCTTGTAGGTTTAGCATAGAGAAAACGTGAAACATGAAAGGTGCATGCATTGTAACATACATTTACCTCCGTGATCAGTAACAGGGTTGGCAGCGTTTTAATCCCCCACATGCATTACTTAAGTAATGTGATTGTTTGTGCCGTGGGCTTCATTCTCTAAATAAATAACAGTCATGAACAATCGGAGTTTAAGGCAAAATGGATAGAAGAAATCGGGAATCTATGTAGGCGTCTATTCGTTATCTTCTTTTTGAAAATGCCTAGGGGCTTCAATTCGGACACTCTCTCTCCCTGTCGGCTGCTGGTGTGATTTATTAATTTATTTATTGAACTATGAGGATGCCATTCTTACATGTATTTTTCAGTTTTGTCATAGCTTTGGTATGGTATGGTCTCGCCCTAAACCCGGGCACTCTTGCCGGTGATCTCTTCGTGAATTATTTCCTTATGGCCATAACTGAATACCCGGCTTACTGCATTTGTTTCGTCATCAATAAATTGGGAAGAAGATGGCCACATGCTATTAGCATGATGGTCGCCGGAGTTGCTATGATCTCCACTATATTTGTCGAGCTCTATGCTCAGAAAGGTAATACCAGTAAATGTTTTTGATATGCGCAGCGTCTACAAGTATACGAAAGCTGTATCAGATATATAATGGAAAAAGAACATCATTTATTAGCATAATATTGAGACCTTTGTTTCTATAAACAAATTGTCAGTAATTGGATAAGTATTCTTGGGCAATCTCATAGAAAAGAATAGTAATTTGAAATATATGTTAACTTGAATGTGCAAATTTTTGATAAATATACAATTTCGTAATAGTTACAGAAAATGCTCTTCCTCTTTCACATTGTTTTGAGGGCAATGAAAACGTTACCTGGTACCAAATTATGATTTACATATTCTCTCCATGCTTCATATATCAGGGATACTGTCAACGGACGTTGCTCAAACCTCTCTCTTTATGCTTGGCAAAACTGGAATCACCACAGCCTTCGCCATTTTCTTTATGTGGAGTGGGGAATTTTCCCCGACGCCCCTGAGAAATTTCGTGGTAGGCATGTGCAACGTGAGTGGTAGGGTGGGCGCCGTGTTTGCACCGCTGATAGTGGTACGTTTTTTTTTTTTTCACTTTTTTTAATTTTCATGGTAATTCATAACACTATGATAATTATGATTTAATTAAAACCACAACAAATAAAGGTTGAAGTAGTACAAAGTAATTTGTAAATGTACAATGCGCTTTAGATCCAGCAAAAAAATTTGAAAATTTTCTGACGATTTTTTGCTATATCTGAAACATAAAAGTATGTCACTACACATGTACTTTGATAATTTTTTTATGGTATTTTGTATATTTTTATTTAAATCTGTATGCAGTATTTTAACCATTAAACCGTTCAACAGAGACGAATAAATTAACAACTCTCTTTTTTCAGGAAGCATTTGAAAAAAACGCCCAACTTGGGAACACAATACCATGGATAATATTTGGCGTGATGGCGTTGCTTGCCGGAATAAGCTCCCTTTTTCTGCCAGAGACTCGTAACAAGCAACTCCCAGAAACATTGATGGATGCTAATGATGTTGGTGTGAAACCAACGTAAGGATTTCAAAGCATTTCTCTTCTCTTTCTCCTTCTTTCTCTCTCTCTCTCTCTCTCTCTCTCTCGTGACAAAGCTGCCCATGCTAAATGAACAAACTGTATTTTACGTATATCATAACTTATTAAGGATAGTTGCTGTTATGTCATAATGTCAGAATTTTCAAATTTTTTCAGCAGCGGGTCCAGTTTACCAGATCCAGCACACGGCATATCCCTCATGACAGAACAGCCACCAGGAGATCTCAAGGATGAAATCATGCTACAAGATAAGACAAACTCTAAAGCCATCTAGGAAATTAATTTGCGCCGCAACGAAATTTACTGTTCGCTTCAGTGTAAAACGATAGAACGAAACTCGCAGTTGGTTGAACAAAGCGATGACACGCACTCAGGGCTTGGTGTTTCACTTACTGAAATTACCAGTAGATTTGTGTGTAAATTTTTCTTGCTACTCTTTTGTAAGCAAATTTTAATCAACCCTTAAATATTATAGTTGATATTTTAAAGACATGTACAGTAATGGGTTTAGTTTTCATTGAGCCTGTTCAGTCCAATATGGTTTCGGTGTACCGTATCATGTTTTAATCTTCGTTTATCTGTCTTTACACACGCACACGTACAGGGGTATGGGGATTGAACTGTCAGAGCAGTCTGGGCTACCGAGTTGACTGTAGTACATATATATAAATAACTGTTTTGTAGCGTGGTCAGTTCATTATGAAGCGACCGAGGGTACTGGTGTTTGGCGATTATTTTACATGTACATGTAGTTATGAAGGTTCGGGTTACCTTTAGATTTGCAGGTCTATTTTTTTTTTTTTTTTTTTTTTGCAAGATATTTTGATGCAACTAAGAAACGAGCTTATGCAGGTTTTAGTGTCATTCTTTGTGGTGCATATTTTTGTAACATTTTTAAAACAAAGCAGAAAATGTAGTGTAATTTAAATAAGGTACGTAAAAGCTGTTTGCAATTGAATTTATACACAAAACTGTTTTATGCCCATTTCTATCTGAATAATAATAATAATAATAATAATAATAATAATAATAATAATAACGTTGTTGTTGCAGACTTGGGTAAACTACCTGTCCACCCCAGTAGCGGACTTAATGGTCCTGCCCCCCCCCCCCCCTTCGGTTTCTGAAAAAATCACAAATTACTATTTGATCCGAATACAACTAACAAAGCTGCCTTGTCTCCGTGGTAACCCCGCCGTCCTGGACACAGCTAGACATTTATACGCGGGTTCGAATCCTAAGATTTTCAGTGTGACTTTTTTGCTCGAAATGATTTCAAAAATTTGCGTTAGATTACTATAAGAGGTAACTCGTACGTGCGGACGGTGGGCGGTTCACTCACGGCGCAGTCGGTTTCGTGCTTGGTTGCAAAAAATACTTAGCCATCAGAAAAGCATGGTAACAGCAAGTCACGAGTTCAAATCCCAGGTGACGCATGTTCACCATAACAACGACCTGGCCCTGCAATCGAAAACAAATGCAACCTCTCATGTGTCCCAGCAAATTACCTTTTGCATAAAAATGCGTTTTAGTTTAAAATTAATGATCGATTTTGACAACAAATTATTGCTCGTCATTATCATAAAGTCTGCGACGTCAGTTACATTTCTTTTCTCTTTGCTTTGCTTTACCTAATCATACATTTGTTTTTTCATCCTCTCCCCCCCCTCCCCATTTGGTCTTGCTTATCAAAACTATACATATATTCATACAGCACCCGGGCAACTCCCCAGTAGACGTTTGAAATGGCAAAGACTACTCACAACTAAAACCGCCAATTTCTGAACCGCCTTTGGCTCTCATCGTGCTCTAAATATTACGTCACAGGTGAAGTCAAACGTAAACTCAGTGTAACACAAAATGAAATTAAAAGCACTTGAAGTCATATAGCTAGGAACAAGGCAGGCAGGCTAAGCAATAAAAGGGGCCGAAATTGAAATGTTTCAGTAACTTTCCCTGTATACAGTAGAATCACGTCACTTCACCCGTAAACCGCATTCAAAATGAAAATAACAGCATCTGAAGTAATCTAAATAGGAACGTTCCTGGCAGGCTTATAAAAAAGCTACGTCACTTGAATTGATTCAGTAGCTTTCTGCGGCCAGCAGAAAAAATTGGGATCTTCCCGCCGAAATTATTTGCCAAATATATATATTTTCAAAATTGCCTTCATCGCAATTGCTTGAATGGAAAGCGCATCAGCTTATACATATATTTGAAGTTTTTTAACGGTTCCCTCTTCTAGTGGGGTTGCTAAAACTTAAACCGTCCCATTGTGCTCTTCAGCGTCACTGGTGAAGCCAACCTAAAGTTCAGCATACAACAAAGTCATGGTAAAAAAAAGGTAATCTATCTAGGAACGCTCCGTGTCAACTTCTCAAATAAGTGCTCGTGTACATGATGAACTTTGATAACAACGTTGATGATAATTCCCTGTTCGAAGACCCGCGATGTGCGGGATGAAATACATATATATGTACAGCTCACGGCCTGCTGATTGTTATGGCAGATATATACATGTACAGCCAAACTGGCCCTTCTCTGTGAGAAAGTTGAAAGTTTCACATTTGATCCAAACTCCACCGACGAAGCTTCCTTGGCTCCGTGATAACTCCGCCGTCCTGGACACAGCTAGACATTTATACGCGGGTTTAAAAGAATCCTGAGAATTTCAGTGTGGCTTTTTTGCAGTGTTTGCTCGAAATAATTTCAAAAATTTGCGTTAGATTACTATAAGAGGAAACTTGTACGTATGGTGGTTGGGCGGTCTGTCACAGCGGAGTCGCTAGCGTGTTTGCTTCCAAAAAAAACAGCAAGCCATAAGCAAACCATGAGTAGGCCTACCTAGTAGGTGCAGTTATTTGTCGAATATGTTTTTTCCTCAAATTGTGCATCATCGCAATTGCTAGAATGGAAAGCGCACCAGTCTTTGAACATTTGAACTTTTTTAAAGATTCCCTTTTCATAGGGGCTTGCTTAAACTAAAACCTTCCCGGTGTAAACGGCCTTTGATACCATTGCGTCTTTTTACCGTCATAGTTGAAGCAAACAGTTTCTCAATGACTGAAAGAAAAAGAAAGTCATCTATGTAGGAAGGCTCCGTTCCAGGTTGTCAAACAAGGTATAGTGGACGTGACAAACTTCAACGTTCATGAGAAGACCGTGTTCGTGGCCTGGCGTGGCTCGGGAAAGAAACGCAGCACCCTGGCTATCGATGGTAACTGGAGATATATATACGTGTATATCCAAACTGGCCCTCTCCGTGAGAAGGTAAAAAGTTTCCATTTGATCTCCCGTCAACTAACCAATCTTGTCTGGCTCCGTGGTAACTTTGCCGACTGGAAAACAGACAGATCCACGTACGCGGGTTCGAATCCGAGGATGCGACGAAATATTTTTATTCCAGAAATAATTTGCAAAAAATTGAGTTCGATTACTATAAAAGGAAACTCGTAAGTACGGAGGGTGGGCGGGTCTGTCACGGCGCAGTCGGTAGCGTGCACGGCTGCAAAAAAAAAAATGCAAAAACGTAGAGTCACGGGTTCGAATCCCAGAAGACGCACGTCAGTTCACCACAACAACGTCATCGAACTGGCGCTGGGAGCGGGAAGCCACAGGAACGAATGCGGCCTCTCGTGGGTCCTCGCAAATTATCTTTTGCACCATTAATAAAAAAAATTGTTGTCACAGTGGTGCATCTATGAAGATCTTACATCTTTTTTAGTAGATTTATTACTTAAAGATAAATACGGTGATTTGATATGAACCTTTCGCATAAAAAA